TTAAAATTCAGGGCAAGACGTTCGCAATCATTAAAATATGTTATATTGTGGTAGAGTTTCAAGTCGTCTGCGTGAAGAAGGAAATTCACATCAATCTCAGCTCCGATATCATCAATGAATATATTGAACAGTAGGGGTCCTAGATTTGATCCATGTGGTATACCAGATGTGGCTATATATTCGATAGACTTGAGGCCATGTAGTCGGAAGTACTGCTTACGGTTATAAAAGTACGATTTGAAGAGGGTAGTTAATTCATTAGATAACCCAAAAGTCGAAAGCTTGTTGAGCAAGCAAGCAAGTCTGTCGAACAATTCAGGAAAATCAGTGAGTGTGGATGATATCAGTCTGAGACTAACAATCAATACCCTCTGCAATACATTGAGTAATTGTTACGAAATTAGTGGTGGTTGAACGTCCTTTCATGAAAGTTTGTTTGTTTTCATATCTTTTTGGGGATATGTGTGTGAATTTTTTCGGAGCTGTGGGGACTTGCACAACTTATACTAAGTACAGGGGACATACCTTCGTCCCCTTAACGAAAATGTGGTATACTTCTTTCATTTTTCAACTTATTGAATCATTTTTTGGTAGGAATCATTTATTCATTATCACGCTATCATTTCTCTCAGTAGTTACCATCACAGTCAATGACATCGTGATATTTCCGTCAAAAATTTTCTGTCCCCACAGCGGTAAATAAAGGTCTGGTGTGTGGAGATAACAATAATGTAACTATTGTGAGGTCACTATAATTCATCGTTTAGTGGCGCCCTCTAAAATTAAAATCATTTGTGCTCTTATTTTCATATATTGAACAATATGGGTGTGAAGTTTTTTGGAGTTGTGGGAACATTTGACTGAAATGTGCTTGAAGATAGAATAATATTATTTATACGATGAAAATGAAGAAATCATATAGATTACAATAAAATTAAAATTGAAATTGTTCTTGAAAAAATATTAACGCCAGTACTAATGAGGTGTTGGTGCCCTCGCTATTTTGTTAAGTTTCGTAATATAGTTTTTGATGTAATATTTTATATCTGTCCATCTTCTTTGGTTTAGCACTTCCCCAGAATTTCGTATGCACTCTTCACACATAACCTTTCCTGGAACAATCTTCTTTTTTATTGCAACACGGAAGAAGTTGGTAACTGCTATTTTTTCATTTTGTGTCCAAGGCCGATGTCCCTTGCGCTTTTTCTTAATTGGTTCATCATCTGGTGGAAATTGATAAAATTTAAGATTTGTAGTAAGATAAGTGGATCATTATTATTACCATTCGTAGAACTATTCTTTTTTGTTTTATTTGATTGTCGTGATGTTCCAATGGAAAGAATATCTTCCTCTTCATCTGGAAATTTCATAATGTTACAGTTCTAGACAATGACTGAGAGTTTGAATTCATACCTGGCTTGTCTTCTTCATCAGACTCATCTGCACTGTCTGTAATATCGGGTAAATCTGAAAATATTCAAAGAAGTGCTTAATTATTGAGCTACTGACGAAAGATAAAAGAAAATGTGAGAATGAGAGATGGACAGTACCTTGCAAATTGATTCCATCGAGAGATTGTCCTTTGAATTTAGAAACTTCCCCCGAGTCGATGGCCATTAAGATGCGGCTGATTTTAGTTAACTCTACTGCTGATTCATGTAGCCTGTAAAAATCTCGGTGAACACGAACATCATGTCCCATATGTCTTGCCAGCCAGTCTACTTCCCTCTCTTGTAAATTGAAAACTTGACATACGGTTGCAGTATATTTCCTCAGTTTTGTACTAGTAATAGATTTGGGAGAACTGAGGCCAGCATTTTCAACAATTAATCTCAAAGCATCTGGTCCTCTAATATAACTCATTGAGTCCTTATGGGATCTTGCAAATATATATGAATTACTTGAATTTATACCTGCCGACATTCTCGTTGAAATAAGAAGATTAATACTAGAAACCATTTCTTCCCTAAGTAGAACAGGTACCGTTCTGCCACGTTTCCCAGGTATTTGTATGAGTTTCATGCTATTTGCGAGCTCTTTTTCGAATGAAGTCAAACTGTCTTGCAATTCTACAGTTGACTCTTTCGACCAATCTGGACAAGATGAATATTGTTTGATTGTCATACGTGACATTTCTCCAGCTCTTCGTTTATTAAATAAAATTATTCTGGTTAAAGTAAGTTGTGCTAAACGAAGCCAAGCCGTTGTCTCACAGGAATTATTTTGTAGTAGCACTTTGAATATTTCTATTTCTTTCATAATATGCTCATTCAACTTCAATAGGTCCTGTGTTAGAGGTAGGAGTGATGAACTATTGATCTTTCTCTTAGTTAAGGTAGAAAGAGCATTAGATGAAATTCGCACTTCCCATTCCAAATCCAAAAGTTGTAAGAATGAGGATAATTTTTTATCTTCCTGAAATTCACCTGCTCTTAAAGCTTGGCCCCTCAAAAATCCTACACTTTTTCTCAAATTATGACCAATTTTTAAAGCCAATGATGGAATGTCATATTCCATTTTCTCTGATGAACTGAAGTTTGCTTTGCATGAAGTTTTCACAGAATTGACTTCTATATCAAAATATGTGAGGTCGATGAAATATTCCAATTTTTTATTTGCAAATTCTGAATCACTTTCTCTAATGACTTGGAGAAGCCTCGCTAACTGTCGCATCGACTGTTTGATAAGCTCTTTCTGGCTGTTAGAATGTTTTTCAAAAAGTTGCATTCCAACACCGAGTATAACGTTGTCAGTTTTGCAGATTTCAGATATTTCGTCATGGCATAATGTGTCTAAAATGAAGCTCCTAAATTTTGAATCACCATTGAAGAGCATGGAATTGACAAGTGCGTTACTTGCTACACGAACTGATTTCTTTGTATTAGGATTTTCAGATCTGTGTGATGTACATGCTTTGACATATCGTGTCAAAAGAGATTTGTTCATGAACCCTAAACAATACGGACAAGGTCCAAAATCATTATATGAGAGCAAACGGCCACAAATGGCCGATGGACGCCTACACAGAATCAGTTGTCCAGTTTTAGATGACAGAACCTCCATATTGTGATAGAAATCGCCAACCCTTATGAGTTCTAAGAAACTTTTTCTTCTCTCTGAAGATTTTTTTTCTTTAACAAAAATCTGTGCAACGGCAAGCTCATTCTGATGTTTCAATTCCAAATGCCTAGCCATTTTGAGACACTTCTGATGACATATGTAGCAACAGTGTGTTTTGTCATATATTCGTTTATTGTCCTTCATTTCAGCAACATCTAGAGATATGTTCACATTCAAATTTTTATCAGGTACAGTGAATTTTGAACAACTTGAAGTAGTATTCTGCAATTTTTCTACTATTTCACTATTTGAGTAAACACTGTTTTCAAAAGATGGTTTCATTGCTTCAATATTTTCTTCCAACGTTGACTTCCTCTGTATTTGTTTTCTGCACTTCGTTCTCATGAATTTTTCAGGAACGTCTTCTCTATCAGAAGGTAAATACTCACTTCCACTATCACAATAAGGTTCTGTAGATGAATCAGACAAAATTGGATCTGAACTATTTTTGCCTTCATCGTAGTGATCAGTATTAAGGTTTGAGAGAGAAATGTCTTGTAATATATTAATTATTTTCTTTGAATGAGCTTTTAACTCTTCTTTCTGTTTTTCAGTTTCGAGGTCAGCGATATCTTCTGCTGATACTATTATTTTCTTTATAGGTTTTATTTCTAAAGAACCATTTTGGTCATCATTTTTCTCCTGATTTGAAAGTTTTGAATCAATTGAAAAACTATGAACATGTGTAACAATATTCAATTCACTATCACTTTCTTCCACGACGAAATATTTTTCTGATGAACATGCATTATCATAGTTGACTAAAACATTCGTATATTCATCTGTTTTGACGTTAGGTACCTTCTGATATTCCATATTATCAATCAGTAATTCCATTTTGGAATCTTCTAAATCAATCCCATTCGTAAATGAAGCATGAGCTAATGGATCATTATCAAGTAGCACACTATTTGATGTTGATTTCTGATAAACTAGATTCAAAATTTTCACAACGTTCCGATGAAGTTTCTGTATCGAATAAAAATATGTTATTTTTGTTTTCATTTTGCTCAGTTTGGGTACCTGATTTTGAGCCAGAATATCTAGATAGTTCATCTGAAAACTGTTGTTCTTCCAAATGCTCTGAAACCTCAATATTTTCTTCATCTGTTTGATAGCGATTTTCTTGTTCCCGTATGTAATTTATTTCTTCTTCAATGAATTTTTTACCAGTTTCTGGTAAAACATATATGAACCTGCTGATTTTATTCAATTTGATTTCACAAATGACTGATTTTCCGCTAACCGTATCTTTTTTTCCTAATATATAATGGGTTTTACTCGCTCTTTTCTTTTCCAACCATGTTATCTCAACTACACAAGTAGAATGAATCTAGAAATGAATAATTACCTACATAGATATATTTAACAAAATAAAGTTTGCATTTTTGGTGATTTCAAATAATTGACATTATATTATTTCTTCAGTTGTATGGAAGATGAAGGTTCATTCTGATGTTTCTGATGTTTTTGTTTTTTACAAGTCGTAGTTTAGAAAAAATAATAATGCAATCGAACGTAAACTGATTAAAAGTATATATCCCAATGAGTGCCCATTTTTTGAAAAATTGTCAAATATATTTTCCGGGTTTTTTGGCCGTAGTCTGCAGGTCTACAGGTCTTGTATAAAACCTGCGGACCACGGCTAAAAATCCCGGAAAATAGCTTTGACACATTCATCTTCGGAAGTGAAAGTTTACATTCTTGAATCATAACCTCATCAATATATAAGTTTAACATTTTTCATCGGCTATATGTCAAGTTTATTCCACTTGTGATATTCTTGTCATTGAATTCTATAATTTGTTATTCGGACATTCGAAATAGATAACATTTTTTTGCAAGGGACAATATAACAAGTCATATGATGGAATATCTAGATGTTTATGAGGAGATATATGACACACAACCGCAGCTCATTTTCAGAACTTGTGGATAGAAATAAACTATTTCCTGTATTAGGAAATAAATATTTCAGAATATAGAAAATACATTTGTGACAGACTTCATTATTATCAGGGAGCTAATGATTGGGATTTTCAATATTTATTGGAATGAACTGGAGTTAGGATAACACGTTTCATTCAGAGACCTTAGAGGGGATCAGTATGAATGTCCCCTGTACACTTCAAGATGAGGAAATGTTTTAAAACACATAGAATGTAGACCAACGACAAATGGTATATTTATGGGGTCAAGAAAACACACTTCATTTAGAGATCTTAGAGGGGATCAGTATGAATGTCCCCAGTACATTTCAAGAGAAGGAAATGTTTTAAAAACACATCACGTGTAAATTAACAACAAAAGGTATAGTCATGGGGTTGAGAAAACACATTTCATCTAGAAACCTCGGAGGGGATCAACATGAATGACCCCTTTACGTTTCAGGGCGATTTTTTCGTAACCCACGGTGTGTAAAAGAATTTCGAAAGTACCTATGGAATCAGCGTAAAGAAGTCTGGATAACTATGTGTGTAATTTGGACCCCACAATGTTCAAGAACCTCCTATTCTGATTATGAACTTTCAAGTAGATGGCAGTTGTTTAACATATATTTTTTTGGTCAAATGCACCTGATTAAGAAAGCAATGACCATAACCAAAAAAAGGAAAACATATTTTTTGGATTCATCGAATCCCCACATGTAATTAAAAGTGTCATAACAGGTAATCTTCGAGGTCATTCTAAGACAAGCAGACATAATCTCTCAGAATAGCCCACTAGAGCACTTGACATGACGTATCTAGATGTTTAAGAGGAGATATATGACAAACAACCGCAGCTCATTTTCAGAACTTGTGGATAGAAAAAAACTATTTCCTGTATTATGAAATAATACATCGTTTCAAAGAATGCATTGAAATAAGAACTACTATTTGAAAAAGCCAATATCTGAAAATCTATTCAGGTTAAGTATAGGGAACCCCAAAATGAAATGAATTTTATATTGTTCAGACCAATAAAATATAGGATGTTCAATTTGGAATAACAAAATTATCTTTGTCCAAAATTATAAAAATGTGACAAATATTTTTGAACATTCTTTATAATATTGAGAAACGAGTTTTATCAAAATCAATAGCTCGAAACATCTTTTATGCTTGGTCAAAATTCAAAGGGAGGGTTTCTTTATATTTCGATGTTAATTAGTTTCAAATTGCACCTAGCATTTTCATAAAAATATCAATAATTCGAGAACAGTTCTATCTAGGTACGTAGTACCTGATATGAAATGATATTATTATTTTCTAACCTATTCGAAAGTGTAACGAAATACAAGGTGTTCTATTTCAAAAAACACAACTTTGATATCTCACTTTTTTGAGCAACCCTGTAGGCTCCAAAATAATTTTCTTCTGCAGCCTTATTCAATGTACATATAATAAAATAGAGAAATTTCCGAAAAGAGTATTGGTTTGGTTTACAGGGACCGTGACGTATGGGGTGCCACATCCTGTATAAGTAAAATTCAAAATGAAATAATCTGAAATACAAAATCTCTGTCGAATCAAAAATTCAAATTCACCAAGAAATATTTAAATGATAAAAAAAATATAAATCGAAAATAGTAGTTGAATAAAATTATCAGCCACTGTTCTCAATCATAGAAAAAGATTCTGCATATATCTTAATCACATTTTTCACATCCGTTTTTCTAGTTGTTTGTAATTGTAGGCAATGTATTTATTTCTTATTTCTCTTGTGTTTTTTGTCATCTTGATATTCTTGAAAATGGAAATAAATTCATTCCGAAAACTTGATTAATGGAAAATAGTTCGTTTATAGGCATATAAAAGTTCTGTGACTATTGTACCTTAAGAAAAAGAAAATTCTTCAGAGTCCAGTATTTTCTTTTTCCCCATTGTCTTTTGTTTCATTTTGCCTCATCTTCAAAAGTTAATTGTTTCTGAAATGTGAAATAAATATTTTTTTTTAAATTCACTGTTGATTCAGACCTAAATTGTTCACACAATTGATAAGAATTCTTTGGTCCAGAGCAACTAGAAATCTATTTTATCAAATGAAACAAAAAAGTTTCATAATCATTCTATAATATAGTTTTTGTGTTAGTCCCTTCTGAAAAATCAGATATGAAAAAAATTGTCCACAAGCGATATTCGTATGGAACATTGCACAGCAGTTGCGCCAGAGACCGAAGTCAGGCTAAGACGGCACTGCCCGTTATCATCGGGGATTTCCCGAAACTACATTCTTTGTTGATTATATTCAACTGTCATAGAGCTCATAGAGCTGATTGTTGAAACAATTTCGAAAGTTCAAACAATGGGTTATAGATGAAAACCACTACACTTCTTTAGTTAAGAGTTTTTATTCAAATGGTTGGACGGCCCACAATAATCTGTTGAAGGAGGAATATTTCTGTATTGAAAACTCATGACATTTATATTTTCGAAATTGTTTCCCGAACAACTAGGAAATAAATGGTTATTATTTCAAAATACGCCATAGACATATAGGTACCGTTCAAAGGTTTCACTTTAGCAACTTACCTTTAGGACTTCTGATTGCCAAAAAGGCTCCTTCAGCTAAAACACTTTCCATCACTGATCTGATTTCCTGAACTGATGAGAACAAAATGCGATTGTTTGGTAGAACCGAAAATCACGTGTTACTTCAACCATTTTGGATATTACATGGAGAAGCGCGTAATTTAAAAATGACCCCACAATGATAGAATTACTAAAATATATAATCAATATTTGTACTTCACGGATCATTGAACGATATTGCGCATTCGAATATATGACAAAATTCAAATGGAAGAATAACTGAATCATATGATTTTTCCGGGGTTCGTGAACCGACGCATAGCGTGATAAAAAATATTTAAAACCACACTGTGTGTATAACAACAAAAAAAGAAAAATATATTTAATTTGAATTGAAGGGGTTATAATTTTAGGAGTGATTACTTTTTGGGAAAGAAAGTTTTTGGCTTTCTACTTCTCCAACTCGATACAAAAAGGATGAGGGAATCTTCCACCTTTTTTTGTATCGAGATGGAGTAGTAGAAAGCCAAAAACTTTGTTTCCCAAAAATATATTCTATATAAACTCATGGAAAAGTCCAATATGGATATCTCCTGTCAATATCAATATCAATACAGAACAAGCGTTTGTAAATAAGAAACGAATTCATATTCCATAATAGTCAACCAGCACAAATTTTCAGAAAAAATTCAGAAAGACTGCTACAGATTTAGTAAAATACTGCGGAATCCTAGAAGATGTCGACTACAAAGACCAAAAACGTATAATAATTCGAAATTACCACGAGGTAAAGTTGAACCTTCGAGAAATAAACAAAACAGAATCAGAAATATGAAGAAAATCTTACTTGCCGGACTCAAGGAAGAATATTGAAGAATACATCAATATTTGCGGAACATATCAGATGAATGAGTACGACAGAAACCCACCAGAACTTAAATGATAACTCCTACACCAAGTTAACCTCCCGAAATCGTTCTCGTGGATATCTACAAGGCAGAAGAACAGACATTGTGAACAACTGTTAATGTTTTGTTTGAATATGGACAGACCTATCTGATAGAAGGAGCAAATACCACCAACATATGGAAAACATTGCTGATATTTCTCACTCAAATTGGTTGATCACAGATGATTGTCTCAGGAAGTGGAATGAAACTCAAGTTTCAATCCACCCTTATGTGCCGACGAACTTTCATTTTTTAATCTTATGAGAATTTTCATGTCCATTATCAGTCTGACTTGATAGCTTCCACTTGTAACACGGGCTTCTTTCAATAAAATGAGCTCTTCAGTAACTTATTTATCGAAACCAACTGTTTCCATAGATTCAAAGTTGAAATTACATAGGAAACTAACTAGCCTAAGCCCGAAAATATTCAGTACATTCGAGTACCTAGGTGATTATATAAACTCTAGATATTTCCCTATGGAGATTTTTCGTTTTTTCATGTATTTGACATCAACGAGAGTCTTTTAGTTATCAGAATAAATTTTCCTGAACAAAGTATCATCACCAGTATCTGTTTCCCATTTCCAATTGTTTCGTTTTCATTAAAGAGGCGACCGTCATCGAAATTGCTTCTGATCTAAAACTCCGCTGTCGGGTATTCCTTCTGATTCCACACCCATCTGTGGCCTAACTGAAATTATCTACAGGGAGAAACAGTGCTTCAAAAGAAAAATTTGAAGGATTGCATACATGGTGAACAATGACGTATTCAGACCGGCTACTATGGAAACTGATGGAGAAGTGAAGTAGTTTGGTTTAGATGGTTTTTCGAAATTTCGATATTCTTGTATTTTCATCTCATCTCATTTGAATATAGAATAAAAAAATAACTTCTGTCCAATTTCTGCTGAGTTCATTATTTGTAACGATAGGTTAATAAACTCAGTAGATATTGAATCAGAGTCATTTTCCTAATTCTATATTCAATATAAATTTCTACAAAATGATTAGGTAATCAATCGAACCAGTTCACCTCACTTATCTCATTCAAATTTCTGATGCGTCTTGTTTCCTCAACTGATGTTTCAATCTCTCTTATATTTTGTCTTGCTTGGTGGTTGAAGTTCTTATTCAGAAACTTGTCTGTGTGAGTTGATTTTCTGTTAACTTTATCGCCTATCATTCCATCATCATGTCTATCCACTAGACAAAACAAGAGGAGCTTTTTGTTTCATTATGAATTGGATTTTCAAGTTGAAGGAGGTCGGATATCATAGACATTCCTTCACCATGCTGTCGTATCACGAAAGTATCATTGACGTTTTGCAGCCAATAACATGGTTACACGATCGCTTGCTCTAAGACTCGTTGAAATTTTCCCATGAAAAAGTTTGCCACTACCTACAGGAATTACCATCCATTCGTTTATAGAAAACACCATCTCATTGGAGATATGTTGATGATGAACGTCCACTGCTCACAATCGTCAAGTTTTTACATTTTTTTCCGTTATCCGTCTGTATGTTATATATGATATTAATATGTTAGATAGTAGACTATAATTCATGTGTCCATATATTTTTTTGTTGCCAACTATAGATGAAACCTATTTTGAAGATGTTTCTCATTTCAAAATTCAACATATTTATTCAATCATACTTTTCTATAATCACCTGAATTGAGTGTTGAGTTATATACGTGCCTTGGAAAATGATTTGAATTTTAATACCATGTGTGATTGGAATTTGAATTGATATAACTGTGAAACAATGAACAATGAAATTTCATTCATAAAAAGACAAAAATGAATATATTTCAGTATTCTTCAGAATAACGAACTGAAATACGCCTTTTTTTCAGATGCTCGCTCGAAACTGTACTTCATAAACTACTGAACAATTCAAATGATCACGATCACCTTCTGAAACATGCTTCGTGACCACGACCCCGGTGAAACATATTCAGAATACCACAGCACCTACCTCAGAAGATCTTCTCCGCCAGGAAGCCCTGCAATCAAAAGGTGCTGTTACGATCACAAAAAATACAATAAACCAAATGAGCCTTCTTTCTTCTGCTGTTGTTATAGTTGTACAGGAAACAGATCGACATCGATTTTAGCAACATTGGGAGTGTGTTGCTTAGTTCTGGGGTACACCATTGTAGGAGCTTTTATATTCATGTCGTTAGAGGGTGGCCTTCAACAGGACACAGCCGTTGCTGCATCTAAATCGAATCCCAAAGGAGATAGCTCCATTATTGGCGATTTGAGAACGGACACAGTAGATAGGTGAGTTTTTTCATATAATTTTTTTCCTTGTGTAAATTTGGTATATACTAGTATAAATTAATTTTGAGTACTTCCATTGCAATTCAATTCCGAAATTTTGATACCCTTCGTAATGAATATTACTGGAGTTTTTCCCCAACACAAAACTGTTTTTTGACACCTCGCCACGTGTTTCGTGATCATCTTCAGTGTTGGTCGTCCTTTTGAAGATGATCACTTGATGATCGAAATATGTGTCGAGGTGTTGAAATAACGGTTTTGTGTTGGGAAAAAATTCCAGTAATATTCATTACCCCACCAAAGGTTCCAAATAGTGCATTACAAGTACCCTTCGTAAGGAAAAAAAAAAAATCAATTTATGTCAATTGTAAGATCACATAAAAATAAATGGACTAACCAATCTTCGTGGGTCAAAAGCACAGTGATTTCCTACTATTCTAAGACAAAATAGGGAGAACATGGAGAGTTTTTTGTGTTTGGATTATTTATATTCAGCTTGTTCACGACATTACGAATATTTATGTAGAATGTATTATATTTTCTCTTCACATTCGGGAAAACAAAATCGCAAACTATCTTTTGCCGTAATATGTAACAAACAGAAAAACGTTCTTTTAAATCTCAACAAGGATTTGAACTCATTCGATAATTATTATTCATAACAAATTGCTTATTCCAAAAATTAAAATGCAATTATTGTAGATAATCTAACATTAAATTTTCTGAGATATTCCATTGAAAAAAATTATATAGGAAAATTATTATCAATATTATCAACATCTTCAAAAAACACATCTTCTGAATGACCGTGAATTGAAAATTTGCACATTTTGCAATAATGCAAAATGCAAAATGTCTATACTAATGATGACTGGCATAGTTGCAAACGAAACGTTTGGTACTTCCATTCGACTACGGCGAAACCGGCCGTAAAAAGTTATGTTTTTGTATTGAATGTACAGCTTGTGTAATTATTTTCGATGTCGATGAAGATGCGAGAGACACGTTTTGATTTTGGGTACTTTTTGATGTAGCTTGAGATGCAGTTGCATCAGCGGGTGTGCTGTCTTTGACTAGAAGTTCTGCACCAATGAATACGGCGATTTTGAGTATTTTGCGATTAAGCTAGTTATCTTCGCAAATTCACGCACACCAACATCTCTCCCAATTTCTAGTTAAAGGATATATTACGATTATAATACTTCGGTCTTAAGCTGGCGTATTGTTGAAATAGTTCTAATAGATTCACTCTGTCGCTGAGTTAGCTTCTCAACAGCAGTTGATTGGAACAATTTCAGAACCTCTTCCACTAATTTAATCTTTGAAACGACCTTTACCCACGTTGAACGACGTAGCCAAGGTGACTTTGAGAAAGTGTCATGTGTTTGACCTCAAATGACCTTTAACTACGTCAAACGACGCAGGCAACTTTGAAGTAGTGTTGAGTTTGATTTTGAATTTTCCTGATTTACGCCCCATATTTTCGACAATATGACTTCGACCTCGACCTTCTACGCGGTGGAAGTTTTGAACTTATGACACAGAACTCATCAAGATGACTTCCAGGAATCTTGATATACATCACGTGACACAGACAAGGTGATTTTGAAGTAGTGTTTGAGATTTACCTTGAACAAACTTCACTATTCACGCACTCTATGTTACGCGGCTACCTTTGACATTTTGAGAATTCGCTATTGAACGACCTTCAACTGTGTATACGAACTGGCTCATGAACTTTTTGCTTCGACTTTGAACAAATTTCGAAAACATGCGCTGAAATGATTTTCAGCGCATGAACTTCTAGCGTGTGCTGAAGGACCACTTCTTTCACTGTAACCGAGTTCTATATATGTTCGGAGAATTACTATTTCACATCCAGTTTGAATATCCTAACGTTTTCCGAAAGATGAAAGGAATAAGTGTTGCAAAGTTACAAGAGTATACCCATCAATCCAGGTGAACATACGAGTATATTATATTTCCAGTATAGTCGAATATTCTAATATTTTGAAAATATCGATACTGTCCTTGCAATACGGTACAAGAACATCCATTCATAAAGTTTCATTGGATGAGGAAGGTAACACTGAGTTCGATTCATGGCTTCTGGACGTGTCACATAACATTTCACAATAGAATTGATTCGCGAAGTAGATTCATTCAAAGTCAAATTGATTTCGTCATATATGGGTCAAAGTTCTTAGGGTGCCATAACCAGCTCACTAGTCAAATTTGATTATCCAGTTTGAATTTGCTATTACGTTCACCCATGGGTTTGTTAATTTCCAGATAAAACGTAATTACTTTTTTGGCTTAAGTACGGTCGGTTTAGTTACAAACTCGAAACATTCAACAGGGCCGTAGATCAAAGATGTTATTACCGATGAAATAAAATATTTGTAATCAAAATGGGCTTCAAGTGATTTGGCCGGCTTCAATTACAAAAATCACTAAAATATACAAGAGATAACTAACAGATTCAACCCTAAACTAATACCCAGCGTGTGACCTAATATATGGATATTATAAATCACGATAAAGAAAAACGTAAAGGTAACTGATTCTTAATGTGCTACTTAACAATGTAATGAGCCGATTCTTGCAAGAACTTCGGTTGGAAGAATTGAATGTGAACAGGCAACACATCAATCATTCAATTCTTCTTAACTATGAATAAGGTTCCTAGTATAACGTAAAATATTGGCATCAGTTTGTCCTTAATTAATTCACTTCACCTAAAAAATGATTTTTCAATTCTTATGTTTATTGCTTCCGTACCTATCACAGTGAAACATATTTGTAGAAATATTCAGTACATGTGATAGCAAACTGACTCCTGTGAGTGAGTGGCCTCTTTTTTATACGTTCTTTCAAAGAGTGGGCAGGGAATGAGCTCAAATATGTGCCCTCAAACTAACACAAACTAAACATGTGATATTACAGAAGATCACTGGGGATCAAATAAAAAGCGCACTCCAAATCATTCTCCATGCAGCTGAAAGTCGTTCAAGGTCGAATCCTTGAAACTAAAAAATAGTCGAGTGACATGGCTGAAGTTCATCCGAAGTCTCTTAGAAGCCTGCAAATATTTTATTGTATTTATATTCTGTGAAATCAGTGATATTCTATGACATCAAGAAATTTGACGTTTAATAAAAAAGAGAAGAGTTAGTTTTATACTGAATGCTGGAAAAGAACACATGTATTTTTGGATATTTCACATTTCTTTAACATGGTCAGTCACTTCATCAAAATTATGACTTCAGAAGCCATCTCGTCATTTATGGTCAAATCCTCAAAACTTCAAGATAGCTGCGTAACTTGCTTGAGTTCATTCGAAATGTGGCGTGAATCAATCAGGGTCGATTAAGGTCGAATCCAAAACAGTACCTCAAAGTCACCTTGTCTGCGTTATCATGGTGATTCAAGGTCGAGTCCAAAAATCTTCCTCAAATGGATCTTTACTACATCGTGTGACGTGGGTGAAGAAAGATTCAGGGTTTCAAAATCGGCCTAAACCAACTACTTCTAACTGTAGGAATCTCCTTATACTTTTCTGAGTAGAATATGGTTATCACAAGCACATCGCTATGATCAATGATATCTTTGGTTATTTTACGTATTAAGTCCCTCCGACAAAATTTAGTGATTTCAATAATTAAACAGAGCTGTAATGAGATCAGCAAAACTGATTGAAACTTTCTTATTCGTGCGAGAGATGAGTTCAATATGGTGCATCACATATGTTTATTACATCTCGATACCACCTTGTTAATTCAGAAATGCAATAAGTTTAGAAAATTTGGATATGTCAACTTTTTCCAATAACTGATCATACTATAGCATAGGTATCATTGATGATTATCATAATCATTACCAACTCTATTAGAAAAATATAGCTGAAGAACATTTTCTGGGAGATTATCGATATTATGTTCTTGACGGCAGTTGTTCAATGGGTTGTATTGATTTTCATCTAAATCCAACTTAGCCATACTTTCCAATTTCTGCAGCACCGGAAATGTGTTAGTGGTAGCCATATCGGTATCAGTATCTATTTTTGATTATTATAAACACTGATATTCACACCATAGTGTTATTCAAATGTAAATTCATGCAGAGTTAGTAAATGAATAATTTGACAATGAGAAATGACAGTTATTTTCACATGCGCTTATTTTTTCATTAAATCGTCGATTACGTGCCGTATTACATAACCACAGATGACGAAATGTGTTCGCAGATGAAAAGTGTTTACGGAAAAAAAATTGCGGACAAGAAATACTTAAATATTTAAAAAATATTCGATTTTTTCTTAGAAAATCAGTATGTGAGATGTCATATTTTGTAGAGGAAAAAATGATTCAGTTCATTGAGGATTTTATTACCAGCCCTAATTTGGTACCTTTCTGAAAAAAAATTCTCCTTCGAGTCTCAAAAAACCCAGAGATTTATAAGTACGATATTCTGGTTATAATTGTCTAATGCATTACTTCCTTTTCAGATTGTGGAGCATTACAGAAAATTTGAATATTCTCTATAGGGAGAACTGGACTAGACTGGCAGCTGAGGAAGTTCTGTTATTTCAGGAAGCATTGTTCAAAGTGTTAAAAAATAGTGAAAGTGGATATATCAGTTCAAGCGAGGGGACCATGCCGTTTCACCACAGTTTTCACAAATGGAGCTTCAGTTCCAGTTTCTTGTATTCGTTGACCCTTATTACTACTATCGGTAAGTGACTGCACCAGTTTTGCACCAATATATTTTCAACATCAGTAAAATAATTCATGTTTCATTTATTGAAATATCTCTGTCTGTGATGATACCGAATTTTACTAGGTTTATTCATGGCCACATGGCGCCGTGAAATATTTTCATCTCGATATGCAAGTTCATATTACCTCAATTCAAAAATTAGAATTGCTTCGAAATTACTGAAAAAAAATCCATCAAATAAGGTAAGTAATGAGTGAAGAGAGTTCGAACTCAAGACGGCCAACATTTTTGGCCTGAAATTCAAATAAATAATTTCTGCATGGTATTAAATATGTTGAACTGTTTTGTCACGGAACCCAAACTGTTATTTGACGTGCCTCCCATGAAAATAACACTCGGATATAAAACGAGTGGCTTTTGATTTTATATCGAGACAGAGGACATTTGTATATTTATAATATCCAATAAACGGCTTATGCTAGCTACTTTCCTCATTGTTATACAAAACCCACGACAGAAAGTATCGTTCATCACAATAGTGACGAGGTCTATGATATCTGATCGGAAACACAGAATTGGTTCAAATGTTTACACATAAAATAGAGATGTCGTATATAGTCTATTTAAGGGTTTTTGATCCAAGTGGATGTGATTCAAGAATAAAGGACTATTAGAGAAATATTTGCTAATGAACGGAATAAAGGGGGAAGAGAAACAACGTGGTCTATTATTAAATACGTACAACAAAACGACATATCAGTTAATAAATAGTTTATGTTTGCCGAACAAACCGTCAGAGAAATCATTCAAAGAATTGATAGCGCTCTTAGACAAGCATTTCACACCGGCTAAGTAAGTTTTTCCAAATCGAGAAATATTTTATTTCGCTTCGAAAAATAGAGATGAAACGTTACCAGAATGGACAGCCCGGATGAGACAGTTAGCAGAAAAATGCGATTTCAAAGATAAACTCACAGTTGTAATGCGTGATAGATTCATATGTGGTTTCCCAAAAGGATGTATGAAGGACAGGCTTTTTAAAGAAAAAAGTGAAAATTTTACATTCAAGAAAGTCATCAAAATAGCTTTGAACAAGGAAGCTAGCAGTCAAAGAAGTCAATGTGAATGTGAACTCAGCCCAGAACAGAAAGAGTATCACCTAGAGAGTAGGAAGTATTCAGGTACAATAGAAGAAAGGAGGTTGGAAAGCAGTAGCCGTCCTCCACAGCGAGGTAGGAGCAACTTCAGCAAGACGTCCGTCCCGACGGCAGCAGAAACAGAAAAAACATTATGTGAAGTGTGTGGTGAAGTACATCCACCACCATGAAGAAACAAAAATTGTTTTTGTTGAAAATGTTGTGATGAGGGTCATATTAATTCCTATTATTGAAAAACAGGAATTAAGTATGAAAGTGAACAAATATATAACGGAAAACGATTTTAGCACGATGAATCACGATCCAACCACAAAATATGAAAGACAAATTAATAGCCTAATAAAATCCAACAAACAGATCTTTAACAACAAAGCATTGAACAGATACACAGTCAACAACCCAAAAGCACCAAAACTCAACGCACAGATAAAGATACATAAGGAAAATAAACCTATAAGACCGGTTATCAATTTCACCAGAGCACCTTCATACAAAATTTCAAAAATCATAGCCGACGAACTGAAAAACAAAATCAACAGGAACAACGACCACAG